ACATAATCTCCTAAAAATTCATCAGGTAAAAGCCAAACCTTTTCTGCTGAAGTTAAGTTCAATAATTCTTTAAATTTGTATATAAAAAAAAAAGATTAAGTCCAAACAAGTTGCAGCCATGGATCTTAACAGCAGACACCCCAATGCAGGAAAGGGTCACATATGTATTTGGTGATGCACTGTTGCATTCTATATGTGCTTTCCATGCATTCCCATTAGTATGGATAAAGAACGCACAACCCAACCTTGTAATGTATGAGCAATAGCTCATTTCACACCAATTTTCAACATGGGTTGTATTTCAATTCAAGACGTGTGATGGACAAACGTGCAGGGGGTAGATTTGCAACCACCTGACTCTCTGTCCACCTGACGTGTGGCTCATTGTAAATCCCATCACGCCTCAGAGTACTTTAGCCAGCAGCACCCGGCACTCATGGTCAATTTTGATTCCTCTGTCGCTTCACGGGGGGCGCGGCAGAAATGCAAGGGATGTTTATGTTCAAGGACACGTCCCTGCAGTGTAAATAAAACCGACCTCCAACTGCCCCCCCCCCATCCCATCATGCTTCACTGCCACCCCGGTCTTCCCTTTTCATTGATCCACAGTGGCGACAGTAAACAGCAGGACTGAGAACTTACAAATATGATCAATCCTGTGGAGGATAATCTTCGGTCTTCAGTACACGTATGGGCCTAAAGCTACAGGCCTCGGTATAAGGCACCCTTAATTATTTTTCATTTTATCCAAAGAGAGAGAGAGGATGATTGTGTAATGTTTTTAAATATCGTCAGTTAGAGAGAGAAAAGCATATATAACTTATCCGTTTTGTTAACCTTGGTCTGTTTTTGTGTCGTGCAATCACCAAGACTACAGTGTAAGCTTCTATTCTTTCTTTGAGACAAACATCTTTCCTGATTCTAGTCTTCATATGAGATCATAGCACTACATGTCAGACACCTGGATGACCTTGGACAGAAAGGTTGGCCTTGTTGGACAGAAGAGATTTAGTCCTGTGCCATTAATAACTGACATTTCAGAGAATCCTTTATCCTTTCCTGTTCAATCTCTGTAAGAAACTCAGATAAAGGCCTGAATTTAACACTCAATATGAAGCCTTTCTCTCAGAGCGTCATTTTAAGGGAAAGAGATTTGATCATTTCGCAACTTCAGATCATCAATTTTGCTCTCCATCCCAGGGCGGTCACTGCATACACACTTTCTCATTTCCCATCGCCTGGCAGAAAACCACAACATATCTGTAGGAAATGTATCAGTCAAGTTACACTGAACTTTGATGAGTTGGCTATTTGAACATTGACAGGTTTTGAATTGATCTACTGTGCAGATTTTTAATTACTTTTAAACACATGCTGAGACAGAAAAGCTCATTCGGACCAAAAAATAAATAAAAATCACTCAAACCAACTGATGTTCAATTTCTGCTTTTAATAGACCATCTTACATCTAAAGAGCTTTTTTAACTGCACTGTTGCCTTGCACCTGGGGAAAAGTAGTGAAATATGACTTGCCAGATCTACAGATATGGGGTAATTGCAAGATTGAGGCAGTGAGTGTTCTATGAGGATCTATAATGCACATTAAAGAAGACTCATGATAAAGGATCTTGCAGAATTCAAGCAAGAGATGATGGCTATAGTTTTTCAATAAAGGTTCCCTGAAGGAAGACAACGAGGGAGAACATATGTTATAGATTCAGGCTCTATAAACATTGAATAAAGCCAGAGTGATTTTCTGTAACTGCAGTGTGTTGAAATCCTTCAGTACAACCCACATCCCTTCTCCAAGGGCATTTATGTCACACACACGCTTATTTCTGTAATCTGCACAATTTATGTCAGGCAAGGAATCCTCATTATCAGTGATAGAATATAACAGACACTGTGTGCTTTGGTAAATTCATCTTATGACTTCCAGTAAAGGGTAAAGAAAAGAGAAAGCAGGAGTCAGCTGAGCATGACAAGGGGTACAATCGCTGTTGTGTTTATACAAGTGCACCTCAATAAATTCTCCTCTGTGCACTTAAACCACAAACCACTGAATGAGGAGTCAGACCTGTGAAGCAAGACAAATCACACACGGGCAGACAAAGGCTACTACTGAGATTTGCGGCCACAATTTCTGACACAATGTGGCAATTTCATGATGCACAAAGGTTTTTTTCCTGGCCTGTACCTATTTAGAATTTTTATCACATTGCAAAGCTCAAACCTTAAACGCAGACACCATATAAGCAGGGCCTTCACTGGGTTTTATAATAGTTCTCTACAAACAATTTTTGAAGAGACTATAAACTCCAACTTAGTTAGAAGAGGAAGACCTTTTCGAGTCAAGTCAGACAAAGACGATGGATATGTGTCTTCTAAAGGTTCCTGTCAATACACAGCAAACATCACACGCATCACATCATTTCTGCTTCAGATGGTAAAAAAGATTAGTAGTATTACTTGTCTTTGCGGGACAATTTGACGTTTGAATATGCATTGCATGCCACTCTGCTTCTTGTCGGATTTTATATAATCAAAATATCTCCATGCTACCTCAGACCCTTCTCTTCAACAATGTCCTCGTCTTTTGAGCCTTGGGCAATGTCCGTCGGGGTGTCTTCTTCGGTAATGTTGTCCTTCGAGTTTTCGCTAACATTTTCTTTTGTTATTCTCTCTTTTATCTCGCTCCCACTCCTGGCATACTGGTGTGCAAGGCTGCAGTACCCCAAACATTAGCATTTGTGTTGCTGCCAGCTGCTGCTCCTTCGCTCTGTGTGTCAACCTAACCTGAAGTGGCTCTAACTCTATTCCAGCCACAACTCCTCAGATTTAGCCTTTCAACTTTTGGAGGAGGCTGACTCATTGTTATTGCTTCCATTAACAAACCATGACTCAACTTGAGATTATCTAGCAATTATCATACTAAGACATAAATCAAGAAACAAAAATGGGTTGGAGAAGTGGAAACTACTCCTTCATAGCAAGGCTGTCACACAAACTCATCTCTCTAAGATACCAAAAACAGTAACTATAAAACAAAGTGGATAACTGGACGACTGAAGACCTCCAGACCAAAACTAAGAGTTACATGTAATACCCCTGGATTGTGAACCAGTGGGCTATACACTACTTAAAAACAAGCTCTGTCTCAATAAACTGCAACAGTAAAAAACTTAAGGTCTGTGTTCCTTGCATGTGTGTGTGTGTGTACAAATTTTTGCACAACAGGGAGTTGCTAAAATTATATTGCTTCATTTATGTGCAACCATGTAAGACAGGGGCCACTGACCTTATCCATGCAATCAAGGATACAATTGCTGCCTAATCAATGCCGTGCTCAATGCTCACAAAAGACGATGGGAGCTGGATTTCAGAAGGACTGATGGATGTTTTCCATCTGCCTTTATTAATGATATGAGTATTTGTATGATGACCCCAGCCCGGCCACATCATCTTCAGCACTCACAGCTAACATGTTAGATTTTTATCTGTGTTGTTTCCAAACCAGAAAATTACAAATAAATCTATTTTAAGACAGAGTGGATGTTTACAAAAAGGTTGATCAGCGATGGATATGATCCGGTTGATAATACCAATGAAACGACTGCTCAAAACAGAGCCGGCACATTGGAAATGACATATTTCACTGCTTTTTTCATGATTAAAATCTGATATGTCAGAAAGTCTCAAAGTATAGGTGACAGGAACCCATTTGAGGTTTACCTGAGAGAGACGGCTTCATATTCATATGACCTGCATTTAACAGGATCATTTCTATATAATCTCCAGGAGTTCCTCCAGTATTTGCAGTGATGCCAAAATAGAAAACAAACATGTTGTAGAAACAGCATCATGGGCAAGAAAAGGTTAAGAGAAGATGTTTCCCTTATTTTACACTGCAGAGCCGTCTTACAGTTATCTCCCACTCTGATGTAGTGCAGACACAACAACTACTCTCAAAAATACCATTTTGCATTAATTCTTTCCTCCATTTCAGCGAGTCATTTCTTACTAAATCCATAAAATACAAACCTCTCATAAATGTGATGTACATATCTGTATTGACAAGGTACAGCTGGCCAGTAGAGCTCTTGAAGTTTAAAATGAGTTGGATTGTTAGAATGTGAAGTGTGCAGTCATAACGCCAGCAGCCATAATCACGTATGCACCATGTGTTCACTTTTTTTCATGACTTTGTTAATTTATTTAACATGCCTTCACTTGTGGCGCCCCCGGTTCACAGGATGTACAGGCAAAAAGTCAGGCAACAAATCGTGGGAGAAGAACTCAGGGACATGGACGGTAAACACTGTAGCAGCAGAAGAGGAATAAACAGAATTAAGGCAAACTGAACAAACAAACTAACAAGGAGGCTAAATACACAAGGGAAGCGGGGATAATTGGGCACAGGTAAATGATAAATGGACTATATTTATACAGCCCTTTTCCAGTCTTATCGACAACTCAAAGAGCTACACACACACGCACGTGCACGCACACGCACGCACGTGCACACACGCACACGCACGCACGCACACACGCACACACACATGCACACACACACATGCAAACTAATTTAAGGTGAGCAGGAGAACAACACAAAAGACAGGTAGCAGAACTGTGGAGGATTTAGTGTAAGTGTTAAGATTTTAAATTGTAGTTCCAGTAACAATCAACTTAGCCAGTCTCACTCAGTGTGTCAGCCATGACAGATGAGCATTGGTTTAAAGTTTCCAATCAATTGTTTTGATTGGGATTAGTTTGGAATGGTTTCTATCAATAGAAAAAAAACATACAATATAGTATTAAAAAATATGAATCCATCTTCCATGAAATGAGCTTATAAATGAAGACTGCCTGAATACAGACTTAAATGTTGTAAAAATCTATAACTGAAATAAAAGGACTTGACCATCACTGACACATCAACACAGGTATCAAAAATAGAAATCAAATCTTCACTGTGGGACGATCAAAAGAGGCAAACTCACGTTGGTCATGCACACAGTCCAAACTTCGGCCTCCACCATGAGGCCAGGTCTGTTTGCTTAGAGAGGAGTGAGCCAGGTGAGCTGGGTTCCTTCCTGTATAACCTCTGTGGGTGGAGCTACAGGAGGAAGTAGTAGACCAGGTAAGGAAATGAGGGGGAAGTAGGAGGGCACAAAATAATGATATTTCAAAATAAAACAGAAAATCCACACAGAAGAGGAGTAGATAGTTGGTTGATTCTTGACGTTTATAGAAAACGGTTCTTTTCGTGAACACACTTCATTGTCTTGACTAAATTCTTTCTGCAGTGCACTTGACACAAAATACCAGCCATATGTGCCAATGGAAGAAATGCGATATATGACAATGATACATCATTCTTGGAATAGAAAACTATAGTATACTAATTTATTTTTGGCCAGACTACACACAGGGAGCATTGATATTACAGCTGGACAGATGTCCAATAAAATGTAATTGTGGTTAGCCACCATAAGCCTCTTAATCCCATCATCCAATTACCACCAATGCGTTAACTATAAATCTGTACTATGCATTATTGATCACTCTCATTGCCACCACTGACTTTATGCCTCTTTTTGCTGAGAGGTCAATTCAGCCCAATGACATCTACTCCATATTCTCTCTATCAGATTTCCAAATGGGCCAAGCTCCTACATACACATACATGGAGACATGTGCAAACATGCTCACAGTTACACACACAGGCTCTAAGACGTATTTGAAAAGTGTCAGACTGACACAATGAGCTAACACATTCACAAATCTGTCACCTCAAAGCAAAGGACAATTACAGCCTCAATCAGCAGTCTTCTCTCATCATGTCTGAGTACAACGCAACATTTGTGCAACAGAACTTGCATTTGTCCCATTTATAACCAGACGACCAGCTCATAGACACGTAGCATCATCAATATGGAGGTAATTCCAATTAAATCTATTAACTTGAAAACATTACAGACAGTATTTGCTTGTTTTGTCCTTTTTGTTGAATTTTCATTGTATTGACTGTTTTTGCTGCAATGATATAAGTCAAAATCACTGCTCGATATTATTCGTGTTAGCTGCATGTTGCAAATACACAAGTTTTACGGTAACATTTGCTAACATGCGCCCCTTCAGCTGCTTTGTAAAATGTTCAGGCTCAATCAGTAATGTGTCCATTTATTGGTTGATTGTACAACTAGTTGGTCATTAAAGTTCAGTTAATTTGCAATTTACTATGTCAGTGGTTCTATGTGATCAATGATTTATTTTAAAATCTATAAAAGAGACTAGGTTCTATTTTAGTTGCAGATCTATTTCAACTAAAAAAGGTTACATGCGTCATGTTTCTTTCCTCCTCCTCCTCTTTATCCTCATCATCTACAGATGTCTCCCACTCCAGCCAATGTTGACAGCACCTAGACAACTGCTAGGTAAGTGTCACATAATACAATCTGGCAGAAACACTGTTAAGATGCGTTAAGATGTTAGATGATCTTAAAGTCAAGAGGGCGTCCAACCCAACTTGTGTTCAACTTGAAACCTCAAAAGGGTTTCACAAGCTCTGCAAATGATCAATACTTACATGTTTTTTATTTTATTAAATTTGTAGGCAATTTATTGTCATCAGCCCTGAGATGTGAACAAAGGCCAGCCAGGGAATATGTTTTTTAAGAAAACCTGAGAAGGTACTCATGTACTTTAAGTGAGGCTTAACAGAGCCCAAACACATCTTCCTACAAGACCTGTGCTTCCACGAAGGAATAGCCCACACTGCAACCAGGTGCTCATGTCATGAGGTAACAAGTCTCAACACAAGGTTTGTGTTCATTTCAGTTTACTTCAGCACAGTTGTCCAGTTGTGTAGTTTCATGTTTTTTCTTTTAAACTTAGTATTGCCCATGATGGTAACTCATGAAAGCTGGATACTGAAGACAGGGTGGTCTTGAAGTGATAAACAGATTGTAAGGAACTTGTTGATTGTTTTATTGATCACATTTTCCAAGAACTGAATTAGATGCAATGCACTGGCTTTAATAAATGTAATGTTGTATGGCCATCTATTGTGATCGTTAAAGAAAACTATGATCATGACATGCAGATTAAAAACCTGTTCAGCACTAATGTTTTTTATGGATTGCTTTGGAATTTGTCAGTTATTGAATATATTTAATATTGCATTGGCTGGTGGCTGTGACTGAGGGGGGAGTGCAGTCAACCTCCAACCAGAAGGTCAGCGGTTCAATCCCAGTCTTCCCCATCTGCCAATGTGTCCTTGGGCAAGATACTGAACACCACATTGCCCTTCATATAAAAATGTGCTGCCCATAGATGATTAGGGTATTAATGTGTGTGTGAATGGGTGGATTGCAAAAGATAATGAAAAAATGATGTGCTTTGAGTGGTCATCAAGACGAGAAAAGCACTATATAAATACAGGCCATTTACCATTTAATAAAAACCGAATGGTTGAAGGCCATTTCTCGCCTGAACCATTTATGTGCTTGCAATTTTAAAGGTTATCATTGTGAAATCTACAACTTTTTAATCATTAGCTTCTAGCAATGTTTTACTGTATAATCAGATTTTCTAGAAATTTAAATGGAACATAAATAGAAATTACAGTAGGAACAGTAAAAAAAACAGTATAATGTCAACAAAACATTTAAATACACAGTATAGTACTGTGATATTTTTTACAGTAACAAACTGTTGTGGAAAAAGTAGGTACACTGTTGAATAACGGTATCTTGCTGGTGACCGTAGTTGCCAATAGTTTACTTTCTTACTTTATTTTCTTACAGCATCGTTAATTTCTGTCAGAAAGATCTCCAGAAGACCCCGTTATCTCTTTGAGGCCCTGAAGGCTGAATATAATTACAGTATTTCATTCATGCATTTTGGGGTTGAAATATTAATTAGTTTCACCTGAGTTTATATTTTCACTTACACTCTAAGCGTCCCCAAAGAAGTAAATGTGGTCATGTGCGTCCACTTTCCTGTTGTCAATTAATTCAGAAAGTTTGTCCTGTGTTGCTTCGTTTTTCACCTCTGGTGCTGTACAGTCGTTGCCCTCAGGCTACTGTCAGACTGCAGAAGTGTTAATACCAAACGAGCGACTGAGGACCACGGCTCCTCTAATCAGAAACAGATGAATCAAAGGACGTATTATGAAACTAAAAGAGGGAAGAGGTTTGATTTGTGCTTTGCGTTGTGATCAATGAGTCATTCTCCAAAACACCAAGGCTCACTGCTTTACGAAAATAAAAAAATTAAAAACTTTAATAAACTGCCCATTTATTTCAGAATTGTAAAATTAGAGAACTCTGCCTTAGTATTTATAGGTATGTTTTGGTTATGACTTATCGATTACAGAGCAAAGCCCAAATTTTGTCTTATTACTTTTTCTTAGTTTCATGATACTGAAAGATTTTGTCCATTTGAATCCAAATGTCCAGCTCTGAAACTGCTGATTCTGGGGTTATTATAGGGCAGTTCACTGTCTCATGATATACTATATCCATATGGTACTACTGCCACTAATATTATCATCATTCTAATATAATATTATGATATTATATCGTAATAATAATAGTAGTAATAAAAAGAAGAGGATCAACAACAACAACAACTCCAATTATTATATGACAAGCAGTAAAGTCTTCCTGGAGAAGCTCTGGTGTACATATATTATACGTACTTGTGTGTGTGTGTGTAAAAAAGGTAATACCTTAGTTAAAACTTCTACATTGCTGTAGCTGTACACACACACACACACACACACACACACACACACACACATATCTTATCAAACATCTCAGGTCTTTTAAGAGGCTCATGTTTAATATTCCACATTTCTTCAATCAAAAGTAAAAAGTTGGAAAGCAAAGTTTTTTGCCTTTTTTAAATATTCTCTGTGGGTTTAAGAACAGTGCTGTGGGTTTCAACAGGACCAAAAGGACCAGGTGGGTATAATTGCTCTGTTAGAATGAGCTTTCTTTAGGAATCTCACTGGCGCCAACTTTTCTGATGTTGTTCTAAAAACCTCTTGTGACTCAAAAGGTCGACAGGGCTGTCGACTGTACACAGCTAAAAAACTTATCGCTGACCTAAAGTCAGTTCCCATGGCAACTCACTGACCTGAAATCAGAGGAAGCGAAGTCTCTTACATCCACAGACTCGGCCCCGGCTGCCAGATATATAACCGCCTGCATCTGTCTGAACACATGTGGAGTTCAGCCCCGGGCTCGCTCACACACAGACCAGACAGTTATGCATCTGCTCAGGTTTGGTCCCTCCTGTCAGATGACTATATCCACATGATAAAGTTTGTCTGTCCTTACAAGATTGTCTGCCCAGTCATATTTCCGTCAACGGAGAATCTGTATCCTGTTGGCTCTATAAACCCCACGTGTCCATCAGAGAAAGTAATTCACATGTGATGATGATCATCCAGATGTTACACATTTACTGTAAGATGCAGTTTAGCTGCAGTGTTGGCTCAGCTCTAATATGTTGAGATCAGCCACTCAGCTCCTCCTGGACTGACCCAAAACAAGGCTCATAACCAAAGGTAACTTATGGAACAACTTACCACTCCACATTAGATCTGCCTCCTCTCTTTCACACTTCACATCACTACTAAGTACACATCTGTTCTCCTTGGCTTTCCCAAGTTGAGTAAGTTTTAATTCCATCTGATTTTATTTTATTTTATTGTATATCTTATATTTTACTTTATTTTAACTTTGAATTATTCTATTTTCTCACTTATTCTATTTTTATTCTGATGTATTGTGTGTTACGGTCCGCTTGTTGTACCTTGTACTTGTGTAGCACTTTGGTCAACCATTTGGATCAAATTACACACATTTATAGACACCAGTCTCCTAATTATGCCTGATTTTTTCACCAAGATTTGTCTGAAATCAGGCAAAATGTCCAAAATAACATTAAAAACTCTTGCAATGTTGAAAAAAGCAAAAAAAAAAATTCTGGATCAGTCCCTTTGTCTGGATCCACCTCAACCTTTAATGGGTTCTTTCTTGA